TGTGTGAGTGGCTTTGTGGTATTTTTATTGCGAGCTGAGGTTAAACCACGACAGTTCTTTTTGGTGCATATACCAGCCACTGTGAAGGAAGTTAACTCTTTCCTGACTAAAACCAGCACAGGAAGGGACAAGAAGCCCTGACTTAAGAAAAATTTCAGGAACTTACTCCCACCTGGCGGGACAAAACCATGTTGCTGACACCACGTATTTCATCATTTTCAATTCTCCATCCCTCCCATTTTCAGTTCTCTGTAAATTACTCTCTATTTTCTAACTTCTCTTACCCCAGCCTCCTGGCCTCAGATCTCAGATCATTCTGACGCCTGGAGGGATTTACCTTAGCAGAAGTACTTTTCCCTTTCTCCTTTTTGTCCCTGTTGTCCCTGCTGTGCGGCTCCCTCCTTTCATTTGTCCGTTCTTGGCTCTCATGCCGCCGCCTTCTGCTCTCCGTAGGCGATGAGCAGGCTTCTCGGTCTATCGTGACTTCTCTCTGAAAGAGGCATTAGGGACAGACTTAGCCAAACCCCTGCAACCTTTTGGGGCTTATTGTCCTTATTGGGCTGCGGAGACCCACACAGTTAGAAGGGACTGCAGAGCCTCATGCAGCTGGGGGCAAGGGCTTCAGAACTTGGATGGGCAGAAGAGTGTACCACAGGTCATCAGAGCATGGCCCTGCTCACCCAAATCACTGACACCTCCAGTACCACAAAAACAAGATGATAGTCCCACAGAACCTCTGCTGATGGCTCTTCCTGGCATCCTTGCAACTACTGCTGGCTGGGGTTGGGGAGCAAAGAGACCACAGATGAGAACAGAGCTCTGCTGTTCATCTTTTAACACCGAGCCACATACCACACGTCTTCAGTAACATCTAGCAAGGATGCTCTTGCCCATAAGTCTACTCAACGAAGAGCAGACCAAAAAATCCTCCAAAGGCAGGGCTTCAGAGGCCAGAGGCAGCTACAGTAACTGGTTCAACACACAGCTAATGCAATCCTAGCCTCTCATTAAGTTGATATTTTGAGATGTGCATCCCTTTTATACAGGTCAGAGGACAGAAAGCAAGCCAACTGTGCTGCCCTACGCAGCCCCTCTTCAGGATCCAGCTGCTAACCTCTCCAGAGACAAGCGGTTTGTAAAAACGTACTGTGTGTAAACCGTCCTTCCCACGCACTCACCTGAGTCCTGGGGTCATAGTATGTCCCAGCTATGGGATCGTAGTAATTCCCAGTTTCAGGATCATAAATATATGTGGACACATCTGATGGAGCTGAACAGAGAGACAAGAGTTAACACCACAGTCTTCCAAAGGCAGAACTTGCCTTTTACAGAGATTTAAATATGAGCAAATATTACACTGATGAAAGGATCAAGAGTAGGAAAGAATTTTTCTCTCCTGGCAAGAGAGGTATGAGTACCCTCACTTCACTCAACCTACACCTTATTTTCTTTAAGAAGGGAGACAAGTTTTCACAATCCTTCGGTTTTAGGTCTCTGGCAAAGCTTCCACATCAAAACACACTTAAGGGGGGGCCGTGCTGAGATCACCAGACCTCCACCAGACAAAGATCCAAAATTCAGTAATTTCCCTGAAAATGGGGTAATGAGTACCAGGCTCTGTGTCCACCCACCCTCGTGAACAAGGAAGATCTGTGCTCTTTCAACAGCCTGCTGTTCAAAGCGATGACACTCCCCACATCCCTTCCGCCCGTGGGCGCATGAAAGCTCCCGACAAGAAAGAGGAGCAAACTGTTTCCACGGGAAAAGCCAAAGGCCTTAAGGGGAGGCCCATCACGTGAGGAACGCTTCTCATTTCCAAAGTGTTACGAGGCAGCGCTCGGCAATCCTACGTATAAGTTGGTAAAACAAGCAGGAGTGTTCTGCCAGCCCCTGGCGCTGCGGGCATAAAGCGTATTTTCTTCTGTCTCAGCTAGTGATTGCCAGGCTGATTTCATCCCGGCACTTTACCACAATAAGGAGAAGCAAGCAGCAAGTTTCCTTTATCTGCATGTCGTTTTGCACAGTAAGAGCAGAGAGAAACACATCATCAGATAGGAAAATGTGACTAAACAAAGTTGGCAAAGGAACTCAGAAAGTGGGTGTAGCAAACAAACCTACTCTTAGCCTTTAAAAATATTTTTGGGCTGATTTCTACGTGTCAGTGCCCTTTTAAGGAAGAAAAGTCTCCGCAGTAGGAGTGAGGCAGTGCTTAACTTACACTGTGCTCTGGTGCGTCTCTGTGATTCGCCGCCCCTCCTGTCTCTCATGCCCCTTCTGCCCTGGAGTAAGTGAACAACACAAACAGATCAGAGACTCTTTGACAAACGTCACATTGCTCCTCCTCCCTCTCACGGGCCCAAAGATCAGGAAAACAGCTCATTTAGGTAGCCTAAATAGAGCAAAAGCAGACACAGCTCTTCACCGACAGAGCAACGGACAGCGTTGCAAAGCACAAGACCTGCATAGCACGAGGTGCTCGTGGCAATCCTTACGGAAGCCTCCAGCCCATTCAGTACAGGGAGAGCCCTGTCGTCTAGTAACAGGCACTAGAGAAGAGACATTCAGAGCGGGAACTGAGATCAGTCATCAGTTAAGTCACTCTGTTAAAGTACAGCTTAGTGTAACTCGCTCGAGCAGCATCTTCCCCTAAGCCTGTGTTTGTAATGTGCACAGAAGCGCAAGGCAGAGGCAGAACAGCAGCGCAGAGCACACTCCAGCGTATTCATCCCATCCTCAAATGTGTTGAACTTTCAGCAGCCCAAAGGGGAAAAGCCTAACAAAGTCAGGCGTGTAACCCCCAGTGCTCCCTCCCTTTCCAGCGGCGTGCAAGGAAGCTGTGCAGACCTACCGGGCCATAGTAGGAATTGTCACCGTGCTCCCCATAGTCATTCCTGTCGAGATAAAGGTTAATGTCAATCTGGTGTCACATTAGCCTCCATGTACTCAAAATGATCAGCAATAAAGGCAGAAAGACCATCTTTGCTGGCCACGTGCTGGGTCGTGTCCACTCCGGGAGACAGAGAGACTTTGCAGATCACTGTCTCCACAGGAGTCACGACCCCACTCTGCTGTGTGTGCAGAGCTGGATCTCTCCAACTGCTTTTTAAAAAGCTGAGCCCATTAATTCCCTCACAGTGGGATTTGATGGCTGGACAACAAGAGGCCAGGCAATATGATGATTAAACCCATACTGCTCAACCACTGAAGCTTCTGCTAGCTCCGATGCCTTCTCCTCTCCAACACACTTTATGTTGTAGGAACATCTGTGCGAATTCATGTGCCAACCTCTCAGCACCGGCTCTGACAAGGCAGCTCTAGCCCCGCAGCACATCACCCGAAGGACGACCCTCTGCCTCATCCGTCTGTACCTTCTCCTCCCTGTAGCAAGATTCACTTCCACCGTACGCCCATCGATGCAGATAGGGGGATCCAGATTCTGCAGGATCTTCAGCAACCTCAGCGCCTCCTGTGAACGCAGAATTTCACATCCATGAGAAGGAAACCTAAGCCCGTTTCCTAGATCCAGTCTGTCTGTCTGAAAGGAAGGCTTTGTGCTTTCCTGATGCCCACAGCAGGCCAGGAGACACAACACTTTAATTATTAAATTAATTAAGCCAGCTAGGGATTACATTCTCCTAGGGCCGCTGAACAATATAGCACCATGGCTGTTGTTGTCCAAAAGAGTTTTGGTGAACGCCCTCTGGACCAACACCAAAAGCTATGGACCAGAAAATGTGAACCCTCCAACATGGGACTGTTTATCAATTAAGATTCTTGCAGACAGAAACCACTGAATTCAAGTTCCCTGCCAACAAAATATGTGTGCAAGAGGTGTTCAGGCTCAGGAGGGCCTACAAAGAAACCTATTGAGGCAAGAAACTCAACATCACAGCCTGTGACAACAGACAATCTTTGGCTTCTAGAGCCAGAATGCAACAGCTGTATCAGCTATTCCCTGCACCTAGCCAGACAAGCAGGAGAGAGGACTCACCCCATGACAGCTGCCTCACAACTACACCTATTCCTTATATTTTGGCGGTTTCTCTGCTTCTACAGCCTACAGATGCCAACAGAGGGAGCACGTGAAAGCAGGAATCTACTTACAGCGTGTGACTCCAGCTCAATGAAGCCATAGGTCTGCCCCATCCGTCCAGCCTTGTTCTTCATGATGCGGACACTGGATGTGGAGAGACGCACATAGGGGGCCAGGAGCCCCACAATCACTTCTGGCGGGGTGAATCGAGTAATACGCTTCAGCATAATTGCTGCGAAGCACAATGAGGGAGGTGGCCAGGAAAGAAAGAGTAGTAAAAGAAGTTAATTCAGATCTTCCAGTGACAGGACAGGCAAAACTAAACCCACTCACAGCAACAGCACGGCTTCCATGGAGTCTGGAAGCCATTGCTAGTTTGCTCTCCACTTTGCAAGATGCTCAGAGTGCTGCCTCCAACTGCTAACCTTTCCTTCCCAGAAAACACAGCAACAGCTCTGAGAAGCTCAGCCCAGGCTAACTTCTGGCTAAAGAGACTTGGGCTGCTGTGCTAAGTTAACTGTAACATCCTGAGGCCAGCTTGCCCTGAACTAATTTTCCTAAAGGAAACTGGCCCACACCTTTGGAGCTGGACAGCCCACCACTGCTCGATGCCACGATTTGCACAACATGGCAAGAGTCTCCACAGGTTTTAGTAAAATGCTGCCCTTTCTGCAGATGGCCTCACAGAGCACAAGCAAGAGGAATTCAAAGCTGGGCCCCGTGCCACTCACTTCTGCTTCCTCCACCATCCTGTGGTGTGGCATCCTCTGCTTCTCTCTGAGAAGGCAGCTCCTGGTGCCGGTCCATGTCCCTCCTCTTCTCCTGCGAGGGCCGCCGCTCTCTCCCTTCATCTCTCTTCCTTGGCTCCTGCTCCTGAGGCTGACACTCCTGCTGTGTAGCAGG